TGATTGGCTAAGCACTTAAACTGACGTGTTCTGATTGGTTGTACTTTATGATGGCATGTCCTGATTGGCTGAGAATTGTGTATTTTCATTGGCTGAGTACTTAAAATGGCCTGTTCTGATTGGCTGTACTTAAGATGGCCTGTGCTGATTGGCTGAGTATTGAAACTGCTCAGTTCTGATTGGCTGAGCACTTAGAATAGCCAGTTCTGATTGGTCATACTTACGATGGCCTGTCCTGATTGGATGAACACTTTTGATGGCATGTCCTGATTGGCTGTACTTGACATGTTTTCTGATTGGCTCGGCACTTACCATAACCTGACTTACGATGGCCTGTCCCGATTGGCTGATCACTTAGAATAGCCAGTTCTGATTGGCTGTACTTGCAATGGTCTGTCCCGATTGGCTGAGTATATAAAATGCTCAGTTCTGATTGGTTGTACTTATGATGGCCTGTCCTGATTGGCTGAGCACTTAAAATGCTGAGTTCTGATTGGCTGTACTTACGATGGCGTGCTCGGCGTGGTTGGGGCACATCCAGCGCCCGGTTGGCATGGAGGTCAGCGGGGGGTCGAGGCAGTCCTGGTGGAACAGCAGCGGGCAGTAGTCGCACTGGATCAGCGGGGACACCCGGCAACTCCTAAAGGAAGTGCAGGTAAGGAGAAAACATTCACAACACGTCAAAGCAGACATTCAACTCGGAACTCTTTATATAAAGGCTTGAAAATGTTGTTTACTTCAGCTTTGGGGAAAATTTGACTGGAAATACTAAGCTGGCATTGTTGTAGTGGGGACACCTGGCAGCTTCTGCAGGAAGTGCAGGTAAGGAGAAAACATTCACAACACGTCACAGCAGATGTTAGATATTTACTTACTCTTCCTACAGAGTACGTCGATGAAGGTTAGACATCCAGGTAATACAATATGCCAAAAAACAGTTACTCAAGCAACTGGATATGATTTTGAAAACGTCAAATTGACGTTTTCAAAATCATATCCAGTTGGTTGAGTAACTGTTTTTTGGCATATCTTCCTACAGAGGCTTGAAAATTTTGTTTGCTTTAGTTTTATACAAACTTTCGCTGCAAAAACTAAGCTGGGATTGTTTGAGCTTCTCAAATTGTAAACCTATATCTTTACTGAGTCAAGAATTTTATTGCATGGAAGGTATTATTATGAAATTATATACCCAGGATACAGAGACTGTACAACGAGGAAAACAATACTACATAGTATTACAGTTTAGAGCTGTACAGCAGCGCCCCCTTACCTGTTACATGTGAAGCACAGTTTGGCGGGGAGGGGCACCATGCCGTTGTCGATCTCGTACGGTTTCTTCGTCTCCCGTTTGCTGGTGTGGCGCTGTCGGTACGTCCACTGCGTCTTACTCGTACCTGCAAACATACAGGGATGTAAGAAACGTACAGGAGGTCAAGTCTGATGGTGTCAAGGTTCAAAGTGCAGCGGTGTCGAGGTTCAAAGTGTAAGGGTGTCAAAGTTCAAAGTGCAGAATGTCAAGTAGAGGGGTATATTTTCAAGTGAAGTTTAAGCTGATTTGGGACATTTTATCATTGTCATTATCATTACACATCTTATCCTCATAACCTTTGCCCTCTACCCTCCGCCCTATGCCCTTTCCCCCCTGACCCGTGACCTTACCCGGCAGTGCAGCGTGGTACATGAACTCGTTGGGCAGGGCGAACTGTTTGGGGCATTACCCTTACACCCTCATAACCTTTGCCCTCTACCCTCTGCCCTTTTACCCCTGACCTGTGACCTTACCAGGCAGTGCGGCGTGGTACATGAACTCGTTGGGGAGGGCGAACTGTTTTGGGTTCTGCAGCCTGGCTGCCTGCAGCAGCAGCTGGAAGGGCGTCTCCACACCGCTCTTCTGCTCCTCACCGTTACCCGGCAACCCCGTATCCATGGCGACAGCAGCATCCCCCGCCCCTCGCTCCCCATTCTCCAGAACCTGGTTACCATGGAAACAACAGAACATTAAGTATCTACGTCGATGAAGGTTAGACATCCAGGTAATACGATATGCTAAAAAGCAGTTACTCAAACAACTGGATATGATTTTGGAAACGGTCAAAATCATATCCAGTTGCTTGAGTAACTGCTTTTTGGCGTATTAAGTATCTACGACTAAATATTTAAAAAAAAATCCTTTAACATGCAATCAGGATATGCAGTCATCTCACCACAAAACCATTTCAGTCATCCTTAATACGTAATATTATACTGTATATGCCTCTTCAAAAGAAAACATTAGAAAATGGTAACCAGTCTGTATGTAAGACAGTACAGACTTAGATGCTACGGCCACCTCCAGAGAATGGACAGGGACAAATGGCCGAAGAGGATCCTCACACTGGATGTGGAGGGTCCAAACCCCCGTGGCCGCCCTAAAAGGAAATGGTATGACAACATACGGGAGGACCTCCACCACCTGAACTTAGATAAAATCAACCCACAGGACAGAGACAATTGGCGTGCTGCCATCAAGCCCCAGATGCAACCAAGCCAACATACAACACAAGGTTGAGTGTCCAAACAGCCATGTTGTTAGCTCCCTACCTTACTTCTTGTAGTCGCAGACACCGGTGCGTTTTCTAAAGCTCGATCTCCCCGCTCATAACTCTGCCCTCTCACCCCGCTCGCACCAGGGGGCTTTCTCACCAGGGCTGGCTGCTTCACTGCCAGGCCCAGTGCCTGTTTGTTTCCAGTCGCACTACTGCTGCTGCCCGCTGCACTCGGTGCCTGTTTACTTCCGTTAGTGGCACTGCTACTGGCTGAACTTGATGCCTGAAAAACAGTTGAAAAGTCAGACGAGTGAACAACCCTAACTTCTTGCAAAGAAAAACATTGTTTTTGGCATGTCTGTGTGGCAAGGGGGTGAAGTCTGCCATCTTTGATTGCCTTACTTGGAACAAAAATTGTAAAACAAGTTGGCCTCAACAAATATTCCTGGCTCTTGGATTTTCTTCAAGAATTCTTCAAAAGGTTAAAAAAAATTATTGGCAACTTCAGATGCTACCTGAGAGTTTCAGGTAGCATCAAATCTATCCAGCAACAATTTTCTTGTGCAAAATCAATCCAGTTGTTTGAGTAACTGTTTTCTTGTGCAAAAGTCTTCATCTTCAAGAGGTCTGACCTGTTTGTTGCTTGCAGTGCTGCTGGCCACGCTTGAACTATTTATGTTATTACATATAAAATTGAAATAAATAAATAAATGAATCAAAAAATAAACAGGTGCTCACCTGTTTGTTGCTAGTCGTGCTGCTGGCCACGCTGGCGTTGGAGGCAGTTTCGTCCCGGTCGTCCAGCTCAGGGAACTGCTGCAGCACCGCGCAGCGATGGCACAACCACTCTCCCTCGGGGAGATCCTCTTCACACAGGGGAGGGTCACTGTGAACAAGGGACAGGTCATTACTCATGGGGGAGGGTTACTGGGCAGCACCGCGCAGCGATGGCACAACCACTCACCCCCGGGGAGATCCTCTTCACACAGGCAGTGTTCGAAATACCTGCCTGCAGTCTGCAATCTGCAGATAGATTTTCAAGATTGCAGAAGAAAAAATTATACAATCTGCAATTTTGCAGAATGAAAAATAGGCTCCAGATTCATTAGTTTTCAATTTAGCAAACTAAAACTCCCAGGCCCCAGGGACAGACTGTTCTGAAACAACAGGAACTTCTTCACTAATTTGCATCATCCTTGTCTTGACTTGTCTAACTTTTGTTTCCTTTTGGACTTCCAAAAAATTGTCTTCACTAATTTGCATATCAATCCATAGTTCATGCTTATAAACCTGAAATTCTCCTGCAATGCTACTCTCCAGTAATGCTACTGTACAGATTTACAAAGCTATATATGATGCAAAAAAGGAATTATTGGTTTGAGAAGGTTGTAGTATGGAGGCTTGTGTATTTGCAGGAAGGTTGTAATATGGAGGCTTGTGTATTTATATTTCAGTCCATACCATGGTATGGATGAAATATATTGTGTTCTCTGATGTTTCTTCTCCTCCTCCTCCTTCTTCTTCTCCTCCTCCTGCCACACAGTCAAAGGGATTCAACTCCGCCATCATTCAGCCAAATGACTTGAAATTTGGCATGGATGTAGAGTGGGCCAATACCCCCAGGCGTTTTTTTTTCATTTTTTTTGATACATGCCTTTTAAAAATTTTTATGAAGGTTTTTTGAATGGATTTTTGGATCCTGAGCCCTGGTTTTACAACCAAATGATCTGAAATTCGGTATAAGGGTACCTTGAACATGTGTCTACAGAATAGCAGTCACATATTTGGCATACACCACTTCCAAATGACTCATTTGGGGGACTTTAATGGCTATTTTCAGCAAAAAAAGAGCCAAAAGTGCTATACCCGTTCCATGTTCTATCTAAAGAATGGCCGGTTCCATTCATGGAACACGTGTTCCATTGCGGGTTACCTGAGGTCACATTGCACGTAAGTCGTGCGGAATGACCCACACATTCAATTTTATGTGCCTAAGACCTTCAAAATGTATCAAATCTCATCATTGTTAGTATTTGCATACCTGTAATAAGACTAGTAAAGCTTTCGAGATTCAATGTGCTTGTTCTTGCATCTTTGTTCTCAATTACATGGCTACTATATAATTCATTTATTTGAGAATCTTTGCCAGTTTTACACCGGGGTAAGTTTGGAATAGTCCACTTTTGCGTGGGAGGGAGATGGACTGAAATATGCTGTATTTGCTCCCAAGCAAATGTCGGCCTCTCTAGTTGCAGAAAGTATTTCCAATTTGCAGAACAAAATTTTGACTCTTCTGCAATATTGCAGAGTACTGAAAAAAAGTATTTCGACCACTGCAGGGGAGGGTCACTGTGAACATGGGACAGGTCATTATTCATGGGGGAGGGTCACTGGAACAAGAGACAGGTCATTATGAGGACGGTGAAGGTTAGGCATCCAGGTAATAAGATATGCCTTTCGTCAGTGGCACTAGAGACTTGCAGGAGACACCCCTACACTTTCAATGGATAGTTCCTAACCTGTGAAAGATTTATGAAGAACCAGGCTGTAGCTGGAAGGGTCCATGTGATAAATGGGTGATGTCAGGCAGATAAAGGCAGTGTACATGAATGTGGGTCAGTGGGACAGCAGATAAGGTACAGTAGACTGATGGGTGGGAGGCCAATTATGGGTGATGCACAACTGCTTCAGTTTCGAGAAAATGGACAGTTTTTACATTCTAAATGCAAGTATCATTTTTTTCTGAATCTGGGCTGAAAATAAAACCTGACCTTAGCACACAACCATGCTGGCCCAGTGAGAGACCGTGTTGGCTCCTCTCCATTAGAAACACCAGTGAGAGACCATGTTGGCTCTCTCCAAACTGAGCCCCATTAGGAACACCAGGGAGAGACCGTGTTGGCTCCTGTCCAAACTGAGCCCCATTAGAAACACCAGTGAGAGACCATGCTGGCTCCTGTCCAAACTGAGCCCCATAAGAAACACCAGTGAGAGACAGTACTGGCTCTCCTCCAAACTGAGCCCCATTCATCATCCATTAGCCAGACAAAAGGTCATGACCTTGAGCCCTGCCTGTCTAAACAGAGAAACCCTGCGGCCTGCCTGAACCTGGGATCAGCTGATCCTAACCGAGGGTAGAACGCAGGTCTATACAGTCTCAGTCCAGCAGGGTTAGGTTCATGACGGTTAAAATAAAGGCATGTTTCTTGGTGTGAAAATTAGCCACCAGTATGCATTTTCAACACTCACTAAGTAAGCCAACTTAAAAAACTACATCTCCAGACAGCTGATGGTGAATCTATCAGGTGTCATGGCAACAGGTGTAATAGAACACCTGTTATCATTGCAACAGGTGAAACAGAACACCTGTTGTCATGGCAACAGGTGAAACAGAACACCAGCTGTTAGTAACAGCAACAGGTGAAGTAGAACACCAGTTGTCATGGCAACAGCTAAAACAGAGCACCAGCTGTTAGTTACAGCAACAGCTGAAACAGAACACCAGTTGTCATGGCAACAGTTGAAACAGAACACCAGATGCCATGGCAACTTGGACCTAATGGAAAATTTTGGACAGCACAAGCCAGGCATTTAGTGACAGAAAATGCAATATTTTGTGCTTCAAATGCTTAAATATAATGATCTCTCCCATAAAGATAAATTATTGAACAGCTGCTGCTGCCATGGTAACCACTTATCCTGCAAAACATCCCACAGCCAGGGGTCAACGACCTCTTATTTCATCATGCTGCTGATTGGCTGTTAAGTAAGAAGGAACCACTACAGGACGGGGGTGTCAGGTTGTTTATGACCCACTCTCCTGGTATAAAAAGCTACAAGTACATGATGTAGAGGGATGACATCAGATGCCCATGGCTAAAATCTCAACAGAAAAGAAGCCACAGCTTTGGTTACTAGAGAAAGTGTTATCTTAACAAGATCTACCTTAAAAAAAAGAGGAACCTTTGAAGTTTCATTCACGGACCTTACCAGGCCACTACAAAAATGCATCCACAGGTATATTGAACCCTGATGTGTGAGTAAAGCACAGGGCAGACATGTGTGCCACTCTCCATTAATTAAGAACCTTCTTTATTAATCAAAACCCTTCCTGCCTTCCCCAAAACACCTGCAGCAGTGTCACACTGGCAGCAACCCTGAAGAAACTGAACTACTCTTCCCAGATACTGAACTGTAACTGCTGAGCTGAACCAAGACATTTGAAACTTCAGCATGCTATGGTAGCCATGTGCTCTAAAGTTGAATTCGTTATATAAGGTTAGCAGTATAGAGAAGGTCAAATTTTAAAGTAAGAAGCCAGCTACGGGACAAGATAAAAACAGATTTCAGGAAGGAAAACATCAAACTGACTTTATTCCCTCCCTGAAACTGTGTGCACCAAGGTACAGGCTTTCTCCTCAGACTCAGAGTCTGTTTTCATATTGTTGATCTTTCAGCTCAGTATGATAAAAATTCTGAATATTGGCGTGGTCTACTGCTATCTAGTATTCAGCCAATGTTAATAATATTATCAATGTCTGTGGTAAAGAGGTCACCACAAGAATAAAAGCACTGCCACAGTTTCAAGATTTATAGTAATCTGCCAAAAAATTACATGTAATACTATAGGTGCCTTCAATGTTGTTTGTTAAGTACATGTCAGGCCAGTTTGTGATAACCCTTGACCTTTGTCCCTTACCTGACCCCACCCTGTCCTGTCAGACGTGTGATGTGTGCTGTTTACTTCATGAACCTGTAAAACACCCCAGCACTCAAAATTCTCACCTGCAGTTTACAATGAAAAATCAAGACTTCAAAGAAAAGGGATGAACATCCTGCTAAAAAAAAACTTCACAATCACAGGCTAAAAACAATTCAGGCTTCAAATTATGACGAAGCCAGAAGCTGCATACCAAATCCGAAATTGTCTATAGTTTTTTTTATAGAAAATTACCTTACCTTACCTCCAAACTACAGGTAGAATTTCTCACAACTAGAACCATTACAACCTACTACTAGCATGTTACATTATAAAAATCCATGTTGGGGCCTGCAGTGTACTTTTCTTCAATCCTACATTCTACATCATTAAAAACGGATAATGAACAGCTTACATTTGGCACCCTACTCTGGCAAATAGAGTCTACTGGTTTTCGGATTTTCAAAATACACTGTAAAAATGCTAAATTGAAAGATAAGCATGAAAGTAAACATAAATGTAAATCCTTGAGTAATGTTCAGCAAGTGGCCAAAATAAAAACAGAAACCTTTTGATCTTTGTTTTTCTTTTAAATCCAAAGCCAACACATTACACTGGTTCTGCCTGATGTACTCAATGTAAATGTTAACAGCTTTAGCTTTCCTTTCAGCTTATGAGCAAATGTGTATGTTTGCTTTGGTTCCCTTCTTTTCTACCACTGACTCCAGTATTCTACTACCTTTAGACCTACCTCATAAGAAACTCATCGAGTCACAGAAACTGAAATTAATCTTGAAGGACATGAAATTCAGCAATAAAAACAAAGATTGATGCTGCTAGCATGATGTAACCTTCCAACAATTCTGCCTAGAGTCATGATATTCTAAACAATTACCAGTAGTTCCACTGTGACTGTACTATAACAAGCTGGACTGCAATTAAAGCTTTATTGTTTGCATTCTTGGGTAATCAACTCATGCACACACTCACTATCCGGTTTAATTAAGTACCAACATTTAATTTTGGTTAAGAATCTGTAAGAAATGTGCAATCAGATTCATAGACTTTGCAAGATTCCAAAATGACTGGTAAACTGGTGGATGTACCAACAATTAAGCTTCTAATACCGACTTAGAAAAAAACAATGCATAATGATAACTATATATATAAAAATATTATAAAACAGGATAAGTATATGTGAAACAATTATAAACCTAGGATTGAGGTGTCGAAAAAAAGGTCTGTTTTTCCTAGAACTTTCGTAGTGTTGAACTCATTAAGTATGTACAGAAAGGGCATCCTCATTAGATGGTATTTTATAGTGAACGTGTAAAGGTTAGGTGTAACTGTTACAGGTAGTTTGATCACACTTAAGACAGAAGCAGATTGTTGACAGTTGTTATCTCAATGTTGAGTTGCGGAAACATATCCTAACATTCCACAGTTCGAGGGCCTGTAAATACATTTGAATCATGAGTCAGCTTTAAGAGTCTTGCATGTCATATCTGAGTGGAAGCTTTAACATCTTTGGCTTTATAATTTAACCGCCACAACATTTGTGCTGACCTGACTTCCCTTAGAACTTTCTGAGAAAAAGTTTTATCTGAATTTTGAACTGATATCAAACCTTCACATAGCTCCGCACGAAGGAAAGTTGACATTATGGTGGAATTTTAACACAAATTCCTTAGAACCTCTCAAATCAGATTTGAGTTTTGTACATGGCAGCAAGACTTGTACTAGAGAAGGGACTTCTTTCTTCAGCCATTTCCTCACAAGAAGTTTCAGTTGTTTGTTTAGGATCTTCATCAGTGTGAATTTTACACTACTCTTCCTGGAGTCTGTAGTGAATAATCAGATAAGTATTTGGACCATCGCACACCGGGGCATGCCCCTACTCTTTTTAGAAAGGTGTGGTGGGTTCTTTAACGTGTGTAGGTTGTTCTTAAGACAGAAGCACCACAAGAACCGAGCACAGTCCTCAAAACCCGCGTCTCTGAGACTGTGTTTGTCCGAACGTAGCCGTTCTGAGCTAAACCCCTCCCGCGGCCCCCCTCCCCAAGTACAGCCTAACAAACCGGCAACAGTCGGGCCCTGTACGGGGCTGACAGACCACAACTAACACCAGGAACCGAAAACTACAGCAGTCAAACCCCTCCTGTTGTCGAGACAGGATGCGAGGACGCCAGGAAAACCTGCCAGCTATTTTTGTGCGGCGAAATTTCGATCTGAATAGCACAGAAATTCAAGATGGCGCCCACCGGCCCATATTTTTCAACACGGCCATGGCGAAAAGTATCCCTCGGTCTTCCCTCACTCACGCCGACAACTGCTCGTTAGAAACACCCTAAAATCTATCAAAATGTTGACAGAGACGTTCTTGTAACTAGGAAGTGTAGAAAAACGGCTGTCTTACCAGCATTGGAGGTGGAACGCGGCCGGACAGCGGTCGCAGCAAAGAAGGTCCCCTCCCTCCTTGCAGGAGTCGCAACAGTCGCGGTTGAAGCTCTTCCCGGTCCTTCTCGGCTCCCGAGCCTCCCTCCTGGACCGCTTCGGCGGCTCTTCGCTCTGCGGCGGCGCGATCAGGGCCTGGATTTTCTGTTTTCACGAGTAAAACAGAAACAATCGGTTTAACTTTACCAGGAAAACTCGAATTCGAAAGCCTTACTTCGGGATATTCTGAGGAAAAAAAGCATGTGCAAGGGCACGGAAAAGATCGCTTGGAGCTACAGGCTTTCCTTACCTCCATGAGTCCCCCGGACGTATCCAGATCATACGTGACGGTCGTCATGTCGGTGACGTACAGGTAAAAAACAGAAAAGTCGTCTGCACAGCTCGCTCGGCTGACAAACTCAGCTTTCCGGGTCCATCTGAAGTCAGCTTACGGAGAAACCGACCCCGGCTCTGCCTTTCGAAGCTCCCCCCACCACCTACCAACTTTCCGCCTCAATTTCTCGAGAACGATTTGTAGAAACTGCACTGAACTTAATCCACGGAATACTAGGACTAGTGGCTACCAGAATCCAAGTTTCTGGCGAAAATTATCGAAAAATGAGCGAGAAAAGCAGGTAAGAAGGGCTGAAAACACAGGAAAATTCACCGCAAAACTTGGCGCAAAAAATCGACACCAGACAGATACGCATGCGCAGGTTGAAATGAGGGCATCAGAACGCATGCGCGAAATTTACAGAATCGTCCATTAATTTTTAGGGAAGATAAACTGAAGATAAAATATTAATTATAATCCAAATTAATCAACATTATCAATAAAAATTCCTCAAATTAAAATCATACAGATGTTTTGAACATTTTCGTATTTTAATGATTACAGAGATAGGGAAATCTGTAAAGTTTTGAAATCTTTTTTCTTTGACCATTTTGATATATTCCAACCAATCAGAAGCCGGGAAAAGGATTTAAATGGCGGGAACTGGAATGTGGGGTGAAAGGTCAGCCGCTGTCATACGCCAGCAGAAACTAGGCAACAAAGCAGGCCACATAACGCGCTAGTTTTGACTTTTTTTAGCCTCTACCAGGCTTCGGGAGGCGGCTGGAAATAGTAGAAATCGGACAAATAGAGAGATAAGCATGCAAAGAGAGTTTGTCCGTTGAGAGAACATTTCGCCGCACCCCAAGTGGCATGCTTATCTCTCTATTTGGCCGATTTCTACTCTTTCCAGCCGCCTCCCCAAGCCTGGTAGACTATCAGATACCGACACTGAAAGACTGTGATCATCTAGCCTCTACCAGGCTTCGGTAGGCGGCTGGAAATACATTGTAGTAGAAATCGGCCAAAATAGAGAGAGATAACATGCCATGATGCACCCGGGTGCGGCAAAAATTATGTTCTCTCCCAGCAGACAAACTCCCCCGGCATGTTCTCTCTCTCTATTTGGCCGATTTCTATTATTCCAGCCTCCTCCTCCTGAAGCCTGGTAGAGGCTAAACTTTTCTGTCAGCGTAGAAATGTGATTTTATCGGTACAACTGAGACCCAGGTGATGCTATGATGCTAGCCAACACATAGGTCATTATATAAGATAAAACAAATAGGTCTTTTTTTATTATTATTATGTTTTATTTGTTTTATATTTCTGATAGATTTTGCACATTTAGGCGAAATGTTGGCCCAACTTTCATATTGTAAGATTTGGACTTGTAAACCGGAAATGTTTTTTGTAGTAACATTTTCATGAGATTCGTCTTTGCAATATCTATTTTAAGAGTAGAGTAGAGTAGAGTAATAATCATTTTAATAATCATTCATTTTTTTCATCTGTAAAAGTTATGATAGGAAAGACATTTATCATGTTTGTATTCATGATTAGGAATAATTATTTTCTTAAGTACACGCAGATGATTTTTCAATACTTAATTTACTGAAATACTGCAATTCTAGATCAAACGTTTGTATTCTTAGTGTAAGAAGCGCCTCCTGTCGACTATTTTACGAACTGCAATTTGAGAGGGTTTTCAGATGCGACTTCAGATGATCAGATTGACATATGATTAACTAGTATTTTATCTACAGATCTCTGTTCATGTAAAACTCAATCTAAACATTATTCAAGTTTTTTGTGTGTTTGTTTGACCATTGTGATGACTTCAATAGCAAGGAAATATTAGATATAAGAATGTAAGTTTAATGAATTAAACACATGCAGACAAAAAAGGTAAGGGTTCAGAATTCTTTGACTTTATTGAATATGTCAAATTGCAAGTTATACTTATAACAAAGATATTCATCAATAACCAACAGGCTGATGACTCTGTCATCTCCTGGGTTTGGTATAATAAAACAGTATAAAAAATATCAACTAAAAACTAGATAAGTACATTGTAACATTAACATTTGCAAAGCAAATGCATAATGTTTACCTTTGCGCGCAAGGTCTGCTCTGTTAATTCTTACTCAAATACATTCATATATACTGTCAAACAGAGTTTAAGTGCCTCCTACTATGAAATTGCAACATTATGTAACCCAACACTAGTTACCACGGTGACAGACGTCAACAAATCAGGTCATTGGCCAGGTCAGAGGTTAGTGTTTGGAGAAGAAGAACTTGTAAGAAACTGAGCAAAAACAATATGTTTTCCTTCGGTAAATATAAATATCAAGTAAAAACAAGACCTTCATAATAATAGCTATACAAGGGATGATGTCCAAATTCTTTTTGTAACAAATGTCACACAGACTAAACAAGCCACTGACATTCGTTCTTTTTGAAGGATGACTTCCTTTTGAAGGATGACTTCAAAATCTACACAAAATCTCCTACATTGTCATTGTATGACAGCACTTCACAAATAACTTGTTATATCAAGTTTTAGCCTTTTGAAAATACAGTAATAACACATAGGTATAACTATAATTTTAGAGCATACTCTTATATATATATAGCATTGCAACACTTAAGCTCCATATGGATACTTTGTGGCAGATAAATATAGACTGAAACTTTGCTTAGCTTAAGGTTTCTGCTGCATGAACTATAATAAATTGGTCTTTACTCCTTCTTCATAATATAATATACTGTAATTGTGATCATTATTCCTAAGTTGTGAAATAATATTTCTTATTAAGAGACTTTCCCCTCTCTGTTAAATTGTTGATCTTCCAGTAGCAATTTACTTCAAAGATACGAGAACCAACAATAAACTTGTTGTGGCCTTATAAAACATCGCTGTGGCACAGTTAAGTTTTCACGACTTTCCGTCAAATCTGCAGGGAGAAAAG